ATACAAGCCTGGAGTACGAGGGATAGGTCAGGCTGAGATACATGTTTGGGAATTGTCATCACAGAGATGGCTTTTAAAGCTTCGAGATCACCGAGACAGTGAGTGTAAATTGAGCAGTGAAGAAGACCCAGGCTGAGCCTTGCACATTCCAAAGTTAGGGCGCTGGGAGGAGAGCACGAACCAGCAGAGGAGACTGAGAGGGAGCAGCCAGTGATGTAGGAGGAAGACCGAGAGAGAGCCTTGTTCCGGAAGTCGAGTGAAGAAAGCATTTGGAGGAGCAAGTGTTCTAAAGTGTCAAATGATGCTTCGCAGACATCATCTCATATAAACATGATAACAACGCAGGAGGAAGTAATATCATTGCTATTTCAGACATGGAAATTGAGTCTCAGAGAACTTAACTAACTCCTCCAAGTTTACACAGATTCTGAAAGGAGATCCAGAAGGCCAAATCAATCTGCCTGGATCCATACCCGGGCTACTTGTCACTACACTCGTGGAACCGGCATGTCGAGTGTCTGCTGGACCCTCAGCACTCTAGAAGCCGGAACCACGGTTCTCGCCCCTGAGAGTATGTTAGATGCAAGTGGTGCCCGGACCTCACCCAAGACCTGTCTCCAGGGACAGCACTTCACCATCTATAGTTTTCAAAACTCCACAAGTGATCACAATGTGATTCATGATCCCAAAGTGATCCTCAGTGATCGTAAACCACTGAGCTCTATCTTCCAGGAGGTTCCAGGAAAGGGTCTGTGCTCAAGTCTTTGCTTATCACCACCAAGTAACTGAGACCTCATCTGACCCTCACCGGGCTGAGGAAAACCTTTAGACATGGCCTTACAAGCCTCACTATAAATTATCTTAAAATAAAACACTATAAATAAGCTTCCCCTTGCAGTCTCCAGTCCCTACAAGTGACTTCACTTGACCCTCCCACTTGAAGACTCACCCCTGCCATGGGCCTGGCATTGGTCCTGTCCTTGGTCAAGCAGAATTATATAAGGAGCTTTAATTCTCTAACTCCATGACTCAACATCAAAGTATTAACAATAACCACTATTGAGAGCCTGCATGAGCCAGACACGATGCTTTACATGTGTTGACTCATTTAATGCCCCCATGAGGTAAATGCTCTGATAATACTCATTTTAAAGATAAAGAAACTAAATCATAGGGAAAGTAAATAGCATGTCCTAGGTCTGCAAACCAGCAGAGCCTGGATTTTCACCGGGTCCTGCCTGACCCCAGCGTCCATATTCCTGGTTACTTCCACCACTGGATACCTCTACATGTGTGACCCCGAGCTTCCTCAATTTACAGTAGAAATGCTTTCTTCCCACCACAGATACTCTCCTTCCCCTGTCCTCTGCTGGCTTATGTCACCTCCCCATGCATACAACTTAAATTGAGACCTCTAGATCATCCCAGACACCCAACACCCACGGCAACTAGTTGGTCCCTATGACCTTTCAATGGTATCCTCAGTGGCTCTCAAATCTTTCTCTCTCTTTTCAGATCTTCATTTGTCTCTTTCCAATATTATTTTTAGTAACTGCTGTAAACAGTCTTCCTATCCTAGTCTTATCTTTTTCAAATCAAAACTCCACTTTGCTGGTTCTAGATTTGATCATTTAGTAACACACAATCACATCAGGGCTTAAAATCCTTCAAGGATGCATTGAGTCCCATTTGATAAAACACAAAACATGGATTCCTGAGCCAGATGTTCTTCACAGTGTAGCTCCAATTTACTTCTTCAAAGGCCCCATGTCCTTGTCCCATAAACATGGTGTGCTCTTCTGTAAAGGTCATAAACTAGGCCCCAAAACAGAATTTGGCCCAAAGATATGCTACACTGTGTTGATTACTATCGTGGGTGTATGGGAGAGACTGTGTGTATGCGTGTGTATTAACTGTTACCATTTAAAGAGTAGGGAGAGTTCATGTAAAAATCCACATCTCTAACTTCCCTTGAAATGTTATTTGACCACCCCGTGTGGTGCTCCCAATCCAACTCACCTCACACGTTTAAGTGACCTGCATGACCCTGTAGGCATTTGAGTTTGTGATCTTTATTCTAGACTATTAGATGGTCTCTAAGGGTACCTACTATGTGTCTTCATGCCTTTGCAACTTCGTTTCTATTGTTTCTTCAGATTAGAGTAACTTGTCTCCACCTGGCAAAGTTCTCCTTATCTTTTAAGGACCAGATAAAGGATTACCATTTCTGTGAACTTTTCCCAACAAAATCAGTCATACTTTGCTCAATGATCCCATAAGCTTTACTTTTCTAATGTAGCTCTCTCCAAGCTATTAAAGGCAGTTGTATGTATGTCTTCTCCTGGCTACATCGGGAAAACCTTGAAAGTGGGTTCTGTTTTGTTCAACTTTATACCCTCTCCCACTTTGAATACCATCGTGCCTCATGCATTGTGTACATTCCACAAGGATGGAGTAAATTCAGTTGAAATCAGAAGCTTTTTTTGTTCTCCATTAAAGTCTTTTCATTCCCACTTTTCTGAAACTAAACAGGTAAAGGACTTATTAATTTATGTAGAAAGGATAAAAAAATTATAGTTTCACATGAGCTTTGAACAAACGTTGGTTTACAAAGTCTATTTAATAAGATTATAAAGTCGATTATGAGGGTTGGCTCTACTCAACTTCCAAGTGTACCACACAGAGAAGTATGGAAATACAGCTCCCTCCCCTTCCTAGTAGTGCCCACATAATCTAATAATAATTACTATTTTCACACTTATGAGAAATTGCTTAGGTGGTAGTGACTTCATCAATCAGGTCTGCATCTTCACCTACAGTTTCTAATCTCATAGTTTTATAGCAAGCTCACATTGTAAACTACTTCTTACTTCACTAGGCCTTTGTTTTTGAGACTTTATTTTTATCTTTTAGACTGTCTTGTAAAGTAGAATACTATACTCTGAAGAATCTAGATCTAGGTTGAAAAAGAAGATAAAACATTTGTATAGTAATCAAAAGATGCACGGTCGGTAACATACAGACCCTGCTTTAGGGAAGGAAAGCTTACTCTCTTCAGGAGAAGTATGAATGAAAAACCACAGTTGCCATGGAAGCAAAATCTCAAAAAGAATAACCAGATTCTTTTAGGAGCTGCCTCTGTTTTTTGCCAAGACTGTCTGCTGACAGCCCCAGGCCCCAGGCAGCTGACTGCAATGCTATTTAATAAGTGAAAGACTAATAACGTTTTGCTGTCTCCATTTGTTCTCCCTCTATCAGAACTGAATGTGGAGCAGGTGTGGGAAGGGAAGCAGAAAAATCCCTTTGAAAATCATCAATTAGCCTGATGCTGGGTTGAGTTTATGGGCATCTCTGAGGAACCCATTCCTTCCCAAGGCGTTCCAAGCGGGATCAAGGGAATCCAAACAGGAGCCCAACGGTCTGCAGTGTATCTACTTTCCAAGAAAGAATGCTGAAAATTTCAAACTCAGATTTAAATCTTTGTTTGTAATAGTATTCTTTTTTTGTGATCCAATTTCCTCTTAATTAATCAAGTGGGATTTTGTCTCTGCATCCTCGGACCTCAGTTAACATTATCAGATAATATTGAACTCTGAAACACATCTGACAGATTTCTAGATAGAGTATTAAATCATCTCCCAAATTGTTTTAATCTTAGGAGGTAAATGACCTACGTGATGAAAAACTGACAGCATTTTTTTTCACAATAAATTGGTCACGCCCTCAGAAGTAATTAACTTTCATACCGATTTTTATGCTCTTAGCAATTTTCAATTAGTATGGTTAACTGTATGTCAAGATTGGAGGAAAGGATACAGTATGAAACTCTATAGAACTACTATGCAAAAAAAAAATTCTATTTATCTTACTTTAAAAAATTATTCAGTGCTGAGCTCTGAGTATCTTTATCTAGTTCAGTATACCTCATATATGGTTCTTTTTCTGTCCGCGTGACCTATCTATCAGTCCTTTTTAAAAAAAACTGTATTTTGGTCTTTGTTCTGAGACTTGGAGGAGTGGCTTTTTCTGCACGCACCCAAAGGCCTGCCAAGGAAGGTCATGTTATTAAAAACAGAAGGTCAGACAGGGATTGTTTCTGATAACATTCACTTATTTTGTCTTTAAATGGTCTTTTAAAATGGAATATTTGACAGGACTTATTGTAATAATAATCTATGAAATTTAATGTGTGTAGATCTTAATTTGAAATTTTAAAATATAATTGGACCAAAATTTTGACCCTCCTCTTATGATTTTAATATGACTTGTCTGTACAATAATGTGAATCTGGGATTAGAACATGTGCCCTTGTCACCCCCTTTATCTGGGCCTCAATGTCTTCATCTGGAAAATGAAGGTTGGATGAGGTGAGGTGTATGGTCTATACTGAACAGGGTTGAAGACAAAAGAAAAAGGCAACTTAAGGACCTTTGATAACTGGGATGAAAAGAGGCACAAGCTTTGAATAAGACAGATTTGGGTTTGAATCTCAGATAGTATTAGCCACAGGATTTTATTTATTTAGATTTTATTGTACTCAGTTATAAAATGGGACTAATTAAGAGCTACACCGAAGGCTGTTGAGGTTTAAATGAGAACACTCCCATAATGTTCCCAGCACAGTTTGTACACATATTTTATGCTTCTATAAATGGTAAGGCCATATTTTAAGGTCAAGAAAAACATAAGGCTAAACACATGATCAGATCTAGTAATTTCCACTCTGGCACTTGGAGAAGAAAGAGAGTGAGCATATCACTGTCCTTTACCAGCAGAGATGTCCCTCTGCTGTGATGAAACTGGAGCCGTCAGGGTTTAAAAAAAGAACACCATCAGGGGGAAGGCACTACCTCTTGGCAAGAAATGCTGAATGTAGTTTCTACCGCCACCAAACTCGTTTCCCATCCCACACCCTTCCTCTATTTAAATCCCGGGCACCCGACGAGTCCGCGCTCATTTTAGCTGGTCCCCAGACTATCAGCGGAGAAGAGAAGGGAAGCATGTCTCCGGGAGAAAAGGAAAGAGAGGGGCCGGCTAAGAGTGCCCTCCGGAAGATCCACACAGCCACCCTGGTGATTAGCTTGGCCCGAGGCTGGCAGCAGTGGGCAAATGAGAACAGCACTAGGCAGGCCCAGGAGCCCACAGGCTGGCTGCCGGGAGGGACCGAGGACCCACCCGAAGATCTTAAACCAGTGATACACCCCACTCCCCACCAGAAAGCTCAGAGGGCCCCAAATTCTCCCTCCCAAAAGCCAGAGAAACATGGAGATGGACAGAGCTCAGAGGAAGAGACTGAGGTCTCTCACATCAAAAGGAAAGAGGTGACCAAGACCATTGTCAGCAAAGCTTATGAGAGAGGAGGGGATGTGAGCCACCTGAGTCACAGATACGAGAAAGACGGTGGCACACCTGAACCTGGGCAGCCAGACAATGACATTGACAGACTCCTCCACGGCCATGGCTCCCCGACGCGGAGGAGAAAATGCGGAAATCTGGTATCCGAGCTGACCAAAGGCTGGAAGGAGATGGAGCAGGAGGAGCCCAAGTGGAGGAGTGACAGCATAGATACCGAGGACAGCGGCTACGAAGGGGAGGCCGAGGACAGGCCCGAGCTGGACGGAGAGCAGGTGGCCGCTGCCAGAATCAAACGGCCCGCGCCGTCCCAGTAAGTGCGAACGCGAACGCGTCCTTCGCCTCCTGGGGCTGCTATTGAGCCAGCCGCCTCCGGGAACCGGAGAGCCGGGAGTCCTACGAAAGTCAGATCTAAGATGTCTTAAATCCTACTAGAGACCGAGCAGGCGGCGGTCCCGCGGGCAGGGCAGGTCCCGCGGGCAGGGCAGGTCCCGGGGCTGGAGGGGCAGTGCCGAGCTCGAACAGGGGCCTTGGGTAGCCGGCCGGCACTATTTGGTTTCTCCTTTCTGTTTGAACTGAACACTCGAATTTTAATCTCAATAGAAATGAAACCACCAGAGAGAGATGAGTAATTCGGGTAAATTTTTAAAGTTGGTTCTCTAATGAGTAGCAGATTGGCTTATTTCTCTGCAGAGAAAAGTGCTTGCTGTTAGATTGTAGAAACTTTTTCTTTGTCTCAAATCAGTCTAAATTATATCAGGAGACACATCTACCCAAAGAATGCCCATGGAACACAGGTTTCCAGGATCCTGTAAACCTGCGGGAAGCTGCTATCCAACCTGACAGCAGGCTCAGAAGTCAGACAGATCCAAGTTCAAATGCCAGCTCTACCCAGACTATAGTTAACAATACCGTATTGGATACTTGAAAGCTACTACGAGAGTAAATCTTAAATATTACACACACACATATCTGATGATTTTTCTAAGCCCATTTCTTCTTTTGTAAAATGATGGCAATAGTAACCCTTTGTGAAAAATGCTACTGTATTGGGAGAAGTAAATGAGATTACAGCTGCCAGACACTTAGCACAATGCCCACCACATATGATCAGTATATGAAAGCTGTTATTGTTCATATAGATTCTATTATTTAGCAATTTGTCAGACTCTCAGAAAAAAAATTTACCCTATTTGCAAACAAAACAGAAGTGCTATTAAAGCTGGGTAATTAAAATCCTAAAACATTTAGATGTTAACTACACACACACTCACACACACAATCACACACACACACACACGCTGACTCAGACTAACACATGTATTCAGACAAGAAGCTCACACTTTATTTCAAGACAGAAATTCCACCTCCACATAGTAGAAAGTCAGGAAGTGTCACTCCACAACCACAGGATATCAAAATATGGGAAAAGTAACTGATGTGATGAATGATTCCCTCTGGGAGTAGCTGGATGTGTAGGTGTGTTTTTCAAGTTTTATGAAATAATCGGAAAGTAAAGAACAGAACTGGTTATCTAATTTGATTAAGAGCTGTCTTGCAGTTTGTGACTTTAAAGGTGCTTTGAAAGAATTAAAACTATTATATTGCAAGCTTTCGAGAAAAATGAAATGGCAAACTGAGATAATTATAACAATCCATCAGGCATTTAGTGTGTGCTATGGGTATTTTACAAGCTTTGTCTTTTTAACCTTTATAATTATATGAAATAGGTGTTATCCCATTTTAGGAATGAGAGAACTGAAGCTCAGTGGGGAAGTTTACCTAGTGAGTTTGTGACAAAGCTGAGATGTGTCTGTCTCCAAATGCAATGTTTTGAAACCAGACATGGTACAAACTCTCATGCAGTGCCGTTAGTATGTATTTAGAGATCCGGATTTGTGCTCTACTTCCATTAATATTGGAATTCATAATCAGAAATAACTTCTACCAGAATGTATGGAACCACAGTCTAAATTCTGGCCTTGTGGATGTGTAGATGCGTGTGTGTGTGTGTGTGTGCACGCACGCACACACACACACACACACACACATGCTAGACATGCAATAAATAAAAGCACCCAACAGAATAAAGACAGAATGGTACAATGAAGATCTTCCTGTCATTAGGGAGGTGAGAGCTGGGACCGGGCTCCAATGTGTGTACTCTTCTATGGCACTACCTCAGCACTTTTCATGTTTATTCATTCACCCTCACAACTTTTTCCTGAGGGAGGTATTATCACATCCACACTTGATAGAACCATGAGACAAAGAAATGTGAGGGAACATGTATAAGACTGCACAGCCCATGGGTTTGAACTGAGGCATTCCGGCTGTAGAGCCCCGCCTCCTGAGCACTACTCTAAACTCTCCCAACCTGGAAGTGGGGACGTGCACTCAGAAGTTCTCTCACAGTTGCTGAAATCAGGCACATACATGGACACCTTCTTAGTGTGACGGAAAGGTACTTAAGCTTTGAGAGACAGATTTGAATCGTGGTTATCTTGGCAAATCCTAGGTCTCTTTGTCTTCAGTTAAAAAACATATGATAATTAGAGTTATTTTGATATTAATTATGTAAAGCAATGGACCCAGGGGAGCTACTTAATAAGCTGTACTCATTATAATGCAGGGGGAGCCAGCCCTGGTGATCTCAACCCTACAAGATGCTAGGAACTTGGCTCTCAGGTTTGGCCCCAGGGGGAAGTGGGAATTAAATCCCTTCTTTTTCCTTTGGTTCCCTTCCCTCGGTCTTACAATACATGGGGTACCAGAATGTTGTTTGCAACAGCAGCTCTTATGGTCATCAGTAATCCTAGCTGTGCTCAGGAAGCTTCAGGAGAAGCCTAATGGGACCTTTTGCCTGATGGGACTCTCAAATACAACTTGAGAAATGAACATGGCATTATTGAGTAAGCCTACATGAAAGAAGTTTTCACTTATTTTTAATTAAACACCATTCTTTCCCCATAGCCACCAATAGGGAGAAAATTATGTATCATAAATATTTAAGTGGAAAGAGTTTTCTTAATAGTAAAGATAATAGAAATAAACAAGTCATTTCTTTACTTATAGTGGTTTTGCTAACTGGGGTTTTACTGTGAAAATTGTTTATATTTTACAGTTTATTTTTTAAATATTTGGTCTTTTGATTGTATAGCTGTATGATTTGTTCAGTCAAGCTCCTTTAGACAAAAGGAATTGGATCCCTCTCCCATACAGAAATTGTAAAATATTAAAGAGCCAATCACTCATCCATCCTCTCCTATTCAATAAAGATAATTGTGGTTGAGCATGGGGGTGCTCGATCATGGGGGAGTGGACACACAGACATTAAGAAATGTATCTAAACCACAGAGCTCGTAAGTGATGATGTTGGGAAGGTTGGTGCAGGAGCATATGTTCTTATCCACTGTGATAGACTGGTCAGTAGAGAACAGACTCAAGGAATGAAATGGAGACCAAAGTGCCAGCCTAATTAATAGAATCTCAATAACTCCCAAAGTGTAGGGTTTTGGTACATCTATATTGAAAGATGTTACTAGACATGAAAGCACAAGTATGGCTCTCAATTCTGAAGCTCGGAACCCTTCCCTTGGACCCTGAGCACAGTTATCAACCTGCAAGGAGAATCACAGGCTCTCAAATCTGGTTGATAACTGAACAGAGAGCAAAATCGTTGATCAGAAATGTGGACCCTGCCTTTTGAATGTAGTCACCCTGCTTCTGATAAATGTGACCCTGTGGATGTCATGCTCCCATGACATCAAAATGGCTATACTTCCTGTGGAAAAGAGCGAGCAAACCAATGTACAGAGAAGCAAATTCTCTCCCAGCACTTCCTTGAGTTGAAAAAAATAGCAGAATTTTTTTGCTTTAGAGAAATGTTCCTGTACAATGAAGAGAAAGGTTACCTCCATAGGAGAGTCTATGGGGGTGGGGGAGCGGGGAACAAGAGCAGCTCTCCACTTTCTTCATAAAAATCCAAGACTCCTCTAGGCTCCATGACATTTTGAAGCTGGTGATTCAGATAAAGGCCATTTTCTGGGGAGAATGGTTCCAGCGCCAGTGAACTTGACTAGATTTGAAATACACCTTTTAGAACTTTTATTCAGGGTGGGGTTTTTTTTTTTTTCGTATTTAATAATTTACACATATAATTATTACTCCAAGATGATAAAGTTATGACACATTGGTTCCCATCATATAGCTGAAAGGCTTCATTCACATAAGAAAGCAACACTCAAACTGATGTCTTTTTAACACTGACAGTTAAGAAATACATTTCAGAATTTATTTCAGTGAATGAACTGACTTTCCAAGATAGAATGCTTGTAATGTCTGGTAGAATTAGTTACCTGCATATAACAGGACAGTGGAAACATTTACTGATTGACCAACAGAAAATTTGTTTACTGATAATAAGAAACTAAAAAGGAGAGTCTGAATTAAATATTACTAACTTAAAGAATAGGTGTGATGTCAGTCTCTGAATATTGCTTTGTTTTCTACAAATTTATACTAGATTGTCTTCCTAAAGCTCAATCTAAACGATTGTGCACATTCTTGAAGAAAAAACAAAACAGAACAGGATAAGTTGTTATATTCTTATATTCATTGACCAAGAAACTACTTAGGATATAAGACTTTCTAATCCTTATTTAAACCTGACATTTTCAGGTGTTTTAATTAAAAGTTGGAAATACAAAAATGATACAGAAAATTTTATGATAGGGAAAATTAAATATTCATTAAGGTATATTTCTTCCTGGTAACATTTTTTTGTAGCCATATTTTCTAATTCTTGCATATAGGACCAATTTTTTTGTTTTTCTTCCTCCTGTTTTTGAAAATTATAATTTTACAATATAACAAATGAACATTAATATTTAGAAGATAAATGTTTTTCTTCATAAATTTATCACCTCATCAAACCCAACCCTTATTCCAAATGACACAGAGTTTCAACACTCAGGGAATCTACTTTCCTAATTAAAATTAGAAGGAAAAAAACTACATCAAAGAATCAAAAACCTATATAGCATACAGTTGAAACGAATGACCTCTGGATGCTAATTTGAATATTTTTCTATTTTTTGCTTTCTCTAAATTATAAAATCAATGTAATACTGAGATAAAATTTTTTTTAAATAAAAAACTGGATACCTACATAATTATTTTCAGTTGTGCACACGCTATTGATTTCTTCAGTCTGGTGCAGACACATATTACATAGTTGGAATTGTACCATATACTCAAATTTGTATTATTTTCATGACTGTCTTTTAGTAGTTCGTCATTATTTTTTTGTTATTAAATATTCAATAGGTAACTAAAACAGCATCTGGCTCATGTATCATAAATACTTTTAATAAAGAATGGGAAAAGTGTCAAAGTGCCCAGAAGCTCCTTACAAGGATGTCATATGTTTTAGGCTGTATAGGGCGGAACTACATTTGGTGCTCAGAGGACAAAAGGTATGCGTTCATGAATCATGCTATTCTTTTTGCTTTCTTCTGAGATGTTTCAAGTCCCTTCTCCAGCAGGATGTCCCAGCCTCAAATCTGGTAGGAGCTTTGGGTTCTGTCCTGACAGCCTTGGGCTTTTTATTGAAGGCTATCTCTGTCAAGGATTGCCAGGATTCTGAGGGGATATGGTGTTTGCTCTCCTTTGATAATGAGACTGAGCAGCCCATAATCTGGGCAGCTGAACGGGATGGTCTGTGGAGAGGGAGGTGATGGTGAGGACAAGCGGGACAGAGAAACCCATTCCACTTCACAGCAGCATAAGTCCTAGCACTTTTCCATAAATGTATGATTGTTTAAAGTTGTAATAATTGTGTATACAGTTTTTGCGTGCTGCTTTTTCTCAATTAACTTTGTCATAGACTTTTGTCCACGTGGCTACAAAGAATAGTAAGTGCTACAAGTAGCAGTGTATTCCTAGTTTGAATTCTATTGAAATAGTGAAACTGAATGCAAGTATAGGACTTTTGGAAACACAAACCTTGGGAATTAGTGAAAGTTCGCCATCTAGTGGATGTCATTCCTCTTTTGAAAACAATACTCATGCAAACATGTGTGCCTTCCACATCTGTTCACTTCCTTTGGATAACCAGATTTCAGGAAGTGAGTTTGGATAGGGAAGAATACCCACATCTGACCTATTCCTGAGTCAGGAACAGCAAATTGTGAGATTTCGGGTAAGAGGGCCCCCTTGGTTCAGGCGCGTCATTCACATAAGCATTTCAGTACTGCTCTCCATCTCCAAGCCCAATGCTTTCAGACATGAGGCCACTCAGTGCTGGGGAGAAGGGAGGGCACGTCACTTGTGAGCATGAGGAATACAGAGCTCTGACTTTTAGACAGTCTAAGAGATAACGTTTTATTTGTGAAGACAAAGAGACCTGGGAAGAAAGTTTAGGAGATTAGAGATACAGAAATGACAGGGAAATCTTTTAAAGATAAATTTCGCCCATTTTAAAATTAGGCATGCAACCTCATGACACTATTGGTCTACTTTCCAGTGCTGTTTTTTTGTCTTGTTGTTTTTAAATAAGAAAATGCATTCCAGATTGCAAGGACACACACACACACTTGAAATACACTCACCCATTTAAAGACACTGTACCCACATGGCATGTGGCATCATGACCCAGTGTGGAAAGAGCATGGACTTTAGTCTCAGGTAGTGTGTTTGAATCCTGCCTCTGCCACTGGTTCAAAGCACTATTTAATAGAAATGATATGCAGGCTCTGGACTCAGCTTAACTTTGGTTCAAATCCCAGCTCTGTTACTTATGTTTTGTGACTTTAAGCAAGTTACTTAACTCCTTTGGCCTCAGTTTCCTAATCTGTGAAATGAGCAAAACAGTATCTACATCACGGAATGATTGTAGGAATGTTAGTAAAACGTGTTTAGAAGGGTGCCAGCACAAATTGTTCAATGTTACTCTTGCTAACTAATGTCTTATCTATACAACTTGATATTTTAAAATTTGTGGTACATCACTGGTACTAGTACAGGTATACTCTCATTAAAAATCCATATATGAAAATCTATACAAGTCAATATTGCAGTGTGTGTGTGTGTGTGTGTGTATATATGCATATATATACACATATGGAATACATGGGGAAATAACTGGTTTTGGAAGTCCTATCTAAAGTGGATCCCCTTAATACACTCATGATTCCAGTTCTGAGATATTGTTAACATGCAATTTAAGATACACATATTTGCATTACATTTATTCAAGGGAGCTTTTTCTTGAAATTGGGTTTAATATCATTATTTCATGGTGCTTAACATTACTATGTTCATAGAGAAAATAATCTAGGGGGACATATACCAAACTAAGAATAATAGGACTGTGTATGATTTTTCTACTTTCATTCCTAATTTCTTTGTACGTGTCGGTATTTCTTTTATAATGAAAAAAATTAGAAACATAAGATGCACATGTGCAGGAAGTACAATGAGAAAGAAACACTCGCATGTTAAAAATCTTGATTCTTCACCCTCTCTCTCTTTTAGGGCAAATAGATACACAGGGAAACTCAACTGCAAGGCCCAAAGGAAATACAGCCAGGTGGACAGCCTGAAAGGAAGGTGGCAACAGTGGGCTGACCAACACATCCAGTCCCAGAAGCTCAACCCTTTCAGTGAAGAATTTGATTATCAGCTGGCCATGTCCACCCGCCTGCGCAAAGGAGATGAAGGCTACGGCCGCCCCAAGGAGGGGACCAAAACCGCTGAGAGGGCCAAGCGAGCCGAGGAGCACATCTACAGAGAAATCATGGACATGTGCTTCATTATCCGCACGATGGCCCGCCACAGATGCGATGGCAAGATCCAAGTTACTTTCGGAGATCTGTTTGACAGATACGTTCGTATTTCAGATAAAGTCGTGGGCATTCTCATGCGCGCCAGGAAACACGGATTGGTTGACTTCGAAGGCGAGATGTTATGGCAAGGCCAGGATGACCATGTTTTGATTACTCTACTTGAGTGAACCTTCCACAAAAGCTGAACTTTACCCAACTCTCGTCTTAATGCTAAATGCTAACTTAGAAAAATTAAAATGCAAACTGTAATAAGTTAGTAAATATTAAACGATTTTTACATAAATGACTTTTTGGCACTCTGTTTCTGAGGAATTCTGAAGATTTTGAGAACGCACACACACAAATTTTTGAAATTCCACTTACCTTTTAGGCAAAGGTATTTGGCTATTCACTGTAGGATTTTTTTTTATAGATCTTTAATTAAACAATTATTACATCTAAGAATGCTGACTTTAGGTTAATAGCAGCAGACCATATTATGTCATTTTTCAGGAAAAAAAAATTCCATTAAGTTTAAAACTAGTTTTCTAAAAGCTGGACTTTGCACTATTATTTTTATCATGGCATCACTTACAAAATAGGAACACAAACAAAAAATTAAGTTTTCAAATAAAATGATGAAATTGCTCCAATTTCTCTATGGGCTTGTAATTTAATAGGTGCCCAGTCAGACATTTGCACAAATCACATAAAAACAGACAGAGATCACTGGTGGTTTTAGAACCAACAGAGAAGGCAGTTATGTTTACCTTTGCCATCAAAGCAGAGGTGAGATCAGATTTACCTGGCTTTGTAGAGCTTCTTGTAGAAGTTTAATTTTTCTCAAAGCCTTAGCAAGCCATACTGCTGATATTTATATCAACATAAAGCGAAGTGTAAATACAGAAAATTCTACAGTGAAGTGTTCATGTAGAAGAATCTGACAGAATCACTGGGAAATCAGATTTGAGACATTCTAATTTTCTCCATGCTCTAACAAACCTTATGAAATAGCTGAAAATTATAAAACAGCAGTATTAGTTCTGCCAAAGTGAAAAAGTATAGTTTAATATGATGCCAAAGAGAGATCTGACACTAATCTATTACTTTTTTTCTTCAGATTTAATGTGCCTTATATATTTCTAAAAACAAATTGAATAAAATGTGAGATTACAATCTATCTGAATTTAATGAAAATTACTATATTATAGCTCCTTGGCGTTAAATACAGAAATTATGTCAAATTATGATACCTCAAAACAGACACATAATTGTTAGGTGTTAGGTTTCATATAAAGTGTGGATTAAGCTACTATAGAAATTATCTGTTTTCATGTATGATTCTTTCAAACTGAAAGTTCCAATAACTTCTTAAAGAAGATTTGTACATTTTTATTTTCATAATAGGCTTATTAAATTATAAATTAATAATCAATATTTCTAATTTCATATAAGATGTACAATTCTACCATAACCGTGAACCTGTCAAAATTTTAAAACATGGCACAAGAATAAAAGATATTTTCTTGTCTTTCCTGCTCATTTTTATACTATTTTTAGGTTATATTCAATATCTCTTTTGTGTTTGAATTACAATAAAATTATATAGTACAACTTGGGTTACTTCTAGTCATCAGAATATTCAGACCGAGGCTTCAAAAAAGTTACCTCATATTCGACTCAGGACAATAAGTTTATGCAGGCACTGACACAGATTATTCAAAGTTCAATTTGTTTGAATTTGAGGATGGAGTTAAAAGTTGTCTTCTCCGAGAGCTTACATTAACTAACATACTTTTGAATAAGGTGTGGCTGTGAAGTCAGAAAGCTAGTTTCCTTAGAGGAAAATGCCGCTATATGGCAGATTTTTGTTCTAAAAACTCCATGATAGGAAAATCCATTATTGAAAACTTAAGGCTTTTAGAGAGAGAGAGAGAGAAAAGTAGAACTCAGCTGCCAAACAAGCTACAGAAAGTCTGTTTTTATAATCAAAATAACATGAAACAATTACGCATAAAATATACTACCAATAATATTTTTTCATTGGTAATTCTAAATTTCCAATAATGGGTAGTGTACGATTGCTTTCCAAATCTTTAGGATTTTCCTTTCCCAATCTTTCAATAAGATGTTTAGCTTTTGGGCTGTTGACGCGTACTTCCCACCCCCGCCTCCGCCCCAACCCCGTCCCTTATGTCTAGACTTCCAAATGTCTGATGCCTTTCAACTTCTAGAACTTGAAATTTTATGATCTCTTGATTCCCAAGTTACTCTGCCCACTTAAATAGTTCTGAGCTCAGGTTTTCTTCCTAAACTGTTGCAAAATGAAGCTGCACCTATATTCTTAGTTTGTCTTTTGCTTTTTCTTTCCTTCTCTTCCCTTCCCTTTGCTTTCCAAACTCAAGTTCATTCCTTCTTTAATACTACCAACAGGTAGATCAGGTACTGTTTCTTGCAGACATGGGACTAATTCTGGACAAAAAAAAAATTTGTCAATGGGAACTCATACTTAGGGAACTATTGTTGTACTCAAGTCATTATGTTCAGAAATTTATAAGAGGAGCAAGAGATCATCTGGCCCATGCTAAAATGGCTTCTTAATGCAGACACTTCCTTAGGATTCCTAGAATATTAATTTTATTCCCATTACCTAGGGCATTTCTTAGTATGCAGTAAGGACAGTTAATGTTTGTTGAATTATTTAATTTATAAATGTGCTGTATGATCTACTCTCTTAGCCTAGACGTTTTCAGAATGCTGTGGTTCACTATCATTCCAACACAAGGGTTATCTGATGACGTGTCGGTATCTAACAAAATTACATTGCATTTACTTTTTGACCAAGAAGCTCCACTTTTAAAATTTCCCTAGAACAACTCAAACGATATTAAAATACATACCAATAATGAATTATGCATTATTTTTATTGTGAATTACTGTAAAGAACCTAATACATATAGAAAAACGGTTGAAAAAGTATGGCATATCCATACAGTGGACGCAGCTCTAAAAAAAAGAACTGGAGTTATTTTCACCTTGCATATCTGTATACACACACTGGATTTTATATACACACATATATGCAAACTGCATTATATGTGTGTACATGTTTACATATAATCTATATTTTGCAAATAGAAGGTAAGCAGAAGTAATGAAATTGGCTTCTTGCAGGAACGGGTAGAAACGGGTTGAAAGACATAGAAGAGGGTTCTGTAGTTTTGACTTTTGAAACCTTTTAAATATCTTACATGTACAAACAATAAAATTAAATAAATGCACAAGAAAAAAATCAAAATGCTAAAGTAACAAATATAATAATTCTGTTTCAAATGATTAAAATAAGCACAGAGGAAGAAATGTTCATACTTTTTTTAATGTACTTTGATTAAATATCTTCAATATAATGAAAAGATATTTAGGGAAATGCAAAGGAATATTAAACTCAATTTTGCTGTTTGTGAAGATATTGGTGTACAATTCTGAAAGTATAACGTCTGCATTGTCAGATTGAGCAAATGAGTAAATATATGAATGTCCATATTGTAGGGGAAGAGATACAAAAAATGCATAAGGAAACACAAGGAAGAATTCCGTAATGCTAAATTGGAATTGGAGGTTTCAGTGTGCATTCATGACGTGTGCATTTACTTCTTATCTCTGTCCTTAAAGGCCCTAGCAGCAATGCCACCCCAGTAGCACTAAGCTAACATCCAGATTTCCAAATGCCATGCTCCTTAAAGCGAAACATGTTTACTTGGAGAAATGGCTAATTCTAGGATTGGGTTACAGAAAGGACAGAAAATTCTGGAACATCTCGTTGCACCAGAAGCAAGCAAGTACTCAAAGAAATGGAGAAATGCACAGAAGTCAACTTGATGTAGCGCCCACTGGTTAAATCTAGGTAAAACACTTTGAAATCCATCGCTCCATAATAGATATTAACAAATATTCTTAAATAATGGAGAAAGGAAAGCTCTTCTTATACTAAATGTGCTGAGAATGAAAGAAAAATTATTTTGCAACTGTTTTAATAATTCAAGCAAGAATCCTCAATGGATATAAAAAATGTGCAAATATAATGCAGAGTATCTATGGTGTCAAAGTATCTCCCTACACATTCCTTATTAATTACAAAGGGAAAAACGATAGTAGAAAAACATGATGGACATTTTCTTAACTAATCAAAGCTATCACCAATAAGGGGGTAAAACATACATTTTGTGCATCCTAATATGATGGAGAGGACACAACATTACTGCTGTGGTTTTGCTGCCCAAAATGCATAACCTAAATTTAAACATAGAAAAAATTCAGACAAATCCACATTGAAGGACATTCTACGATCCTGAACTCTTCAAATAGATCAGTGTCATAAAATTTAAAAATGACTAATGAACTCTTCCAGGTTAAATAAGATAAAAAAGATAGAACAACTAAATGCAATGAAGGATCCTGGATCGAAATAATAATAATAATAATATGCTTTAAAGGATATTAAGACTATTGATGAAATTAAAAAAATGGATTGCATATCAAATCATATTATTGTATTGCTAAATTTCCTGAATCTAATCATTGTATTGTGGTTATATAAAAAATATCTTTAGGAGATACATGAAAATATTTAGTGTAACAGAGGTAGATGCAGCAAGATACTAGGTGAGTGAGTAAGGATGGGGAGATGAGGAGAAAGTAAGCAAATAGTTTGTAAACATTCTAGTACATACCTCTTATAAACAAATATATACATTACTCTTGGGTACATATCAAAGAATTAAATTTGCTGGTCAAAGGCTTAGCATTAGTAGACATTTCCAAAAGTTTTCCAAAGTTGTTCCACTTTATATTCCCTTTCAAAATAGCTTTTATTTTAATACTCTTAGGAATTGCCAGTCTTCTACCTTTTCTGTTGAACTTTTTTGACTTGTAATCATTTGTATATTATGTATGAGACCTTCATTAGATCTGTGTATGACGAAAACCTTCCACTCTGTTGGTTGCCTTTTCACCTTTAATGACATCTTTTGATGAAATGCTCTTAAAATTGTAATGTTTCATATCATATTTTCCCCTTTATAGTTAGTGCTTTTGTGCTCCATTTAGGAAATGTATGTGCATCCTCAGGTCATGACAATATTCTATATTTTAAAAATACCTTTATTGTTTTACTTTTCACATTTAGACTTACAACTTGTAATTAATTTTTGTTATGTG